GTCTCAGCGTTGCGTGTTGAAGCTGCGGGAGACCGTGCCAGTCTATTTTCTAGAGAAATATGATGAGTGTGATTTTTGTGGGGAGAGTCTAATGTTGTTCTTTAAACGGTCGTTCCGCAGTAATTTGTTCCATTTTAGGTTGTACAATTTGATCCAATTGTGAGGTAATGGTTACGTCACCATACCAGGGAAGAAAGCAATGTCGAAAGAAATCTCCAACGAGGCGTCTGGGAAGCATGACAGTCGTTTCTGTGTTAGATGTGTTGTTGTTAGCTCTGGTCTTGTTGCGAGCTTAGGTTGGACTTTGAGGGGTGTTGTTATGACTCCTCTAGACCGCGTTCTTTACATGCTATGGAAAGCTTCAATAACACATCTAGGGACGGTAATACCAGAATAGCATTGACATGGGACCTTTACGTCGGCTTGTGTATGTGTATGCAGGAGGAGACGGTAAAGTGGTTGGTGGTATAATAATATGCATCCGCTTGGTTCTGGTAAAGATTCCCACAGTAATATTATATATTTGGTTGGTGTGGGTTTTTTTTTGTTGTTTTTGGTTTTTTTGTTTTTTGTCATTTGGCGCGTTGTTTCATTTTGTGCGAGTTATTGTATGGGACTATGTGCTTTACAGTCATATACACTGGCAAAAAAACAATATAACACACTACAGGAAGGGAAATGTTTTGCATATATTATTCTCAAATGAGTCTCAAAACATTAAGTGACATTTATTTTGCAAAGGATTGCACTGAGGATATGGTGTTTTGACCATTTTAATCTGTGTCTGTTGGGTCTCTCGCAGGTAGGACAGTAGGACGGGTGCTGGAGCCGGGGGCCGAGGAGCTGAGGCAAAAGAGCTGGATGGTCATGTTGTTATTTTGTTTCGGTCGTGTTGTTTTCCTTGTCTGTTGTTTTTCCTGTTTGTGTGTTGTTGCGTCAGGCCAAGAGCAGGTGGAAGGAGCGGCGGCGCTTACACCCTTCAAGATCGTGGAGGGAGGAGGCGAGAAGGAATTCGAGAGAACCGACGCACGCTGGTCTGCTTTGGATAGTCTGACACTGACGGAGAAAACGAGGGAGGAAGCAGTACGAAGCTGAGTCAGAGAGCTGAACGCAATCAAGAGGGACGAGAGGCCGAGAAGTTTGGGAGTAAAACAACGATATGACTACTTTATGATCACATTGGTGATATTTAGACTTTCCTAATGAGCTGGGTTCTGTCCTCAGGCATGGAGAAGGAGTAAGCGTAGATCGAGAGATTCACAACCTGATCGGTTAGAGATGCTGCGGAGTTCCGAGTACTGCGCAACAGCGGTCAAGCAAGCACCAACAAAGCCAGCAAAGGAAATACAAGTTCCTGCAGACAGTACTACACAGAGGAGCCTTCTTCATGGTGAGTCTCACAGGAGCAAACAATTATCACTAGAGGAGATCTAGCTTAACAAATACTCTTCTCTTTTCAAGCCAGTGGAGACATTGAAGAGAATGATATGTGTGTAGTTTCTCTAGTTTTTGTCCAATAGTTGTGTTTATTGGGCATACAGTAGCATTGACTGCTATTGTATCCTTTTATTGGTGTTTTGCCTTCGTTATTGATTCTTATCGCAGTTTCGAGTTTATAGGAAGTGGCTACAATATCTTGTGTATTCGTATGCATCTGTATTGGTACAGAATAAGCCTCCTTGAAAGAGTTTTCGGATTCTAGCTGATTNTATATATGTTTAGTAGGTTGTGGAAGTGCGCTCCAACATATTTGTTGATCTTCTTTATTGGTATTTATTATTTTTGATATTATTTACTTAAAGATGGGAATCCCATCTTTAAGTAAATAATATCAAAAATAATAAATACCAATAAAGAAGATCAACAAATATGTTGGAGCGCACTTCCACAACCTACTAAACATATATAAATATGATAACTAATGTCACTCACAACCTGTAATGTTTAATTAAACTGCTACACGCAGCACTCTTATTTTGGTAACCCCTTATCCGGAAACCGGAAGTAGCTAAAAGGTTCCAGCTTGACGAGTAAGTAAAAGTTGACACGAGAGACCGGAGAATAAAGACACGGCAACTAAAGCTTCCCTTGTAACGTGTTTATATGGATTTATTAAACAGACACAGTCACAACACAACCTGGCCGAGAGGGCTTTTAGGGAGGGGCCACAGCACACGCGCGGGCAGGATGTGTAATGCAAGACAAATTGAGTGCATCATTTAGAAAGGGAGTGCAGCAAAATAATCGTTTTATTTCGATTACGTTGTTTTCATAATCGTTGCAAGCCAAAATCGAGATTAAAATACGATTAATTGCGCAGCCCTACTTGGCAGATTATCTGCATAAAGCATCTGAATCCACTTCAGGTCAGTCTCATCCATGCTCAATCATTCCTTGCACTGTTATATCCTTAAATCAGCTGAAGATTCCCCGTCTTCATTAACCTGGCATCACTGGTTTTATTACTAGCGCGTAAAAGCTACTAAACCCATTGGGTAGTCTTTGGTGTCTAAACTCAGTGATATGAGAAGGACCAGCATGCTTCTGATTTGTTGGATACATAGAGGCATAATTGGTCAGATGCTTTCCTAATTGTATTTTTGGTAAGTGTTTTACTTTTCTGTGAGTTCATGAGTGAAGGGAAGGCACTTTGACATTTAAACATCTGTTGTTTTGGCTTGGGTGAAATGAGGAGTGTTAAGTTGGAGATAGAGGGAGAGCCTGGCAGCAAGAAGATGTGCTCTGGTGGAAAGAAAACTGCAGGCAGAAGAGAGAAATGGAGGGAAGGAGAGCCCATAGGTCAGAGTCGGATGAATAGCTGGGATGCCAAGAGATCAACATTTATTTACAGTTAGATTTATTCCACACAATTTCCTTGCTCTGTTGGTTTCTTTGTTCTCTACCCTTTTTTTTCCCATTCTTGGATTCCTTTTCCTTCATGCCTTACTTGTATCTCTCTCTTTCTCCATGTCCTGTACTGATTGAAAACAGATGTGCCTATGCGAGGAAACGTTTTAAATGAAAAACACGCTAAACTGACTGACCTGTGACCATCAAGTGTGAACATGTGCACACAAGATCCCAATGCTGGAAGATTTACTTTGCATGTAAGAGTATGAGCAGAATAAAACCACATCTGTTTAAGTTGAACAATTTAAAATAAGAAAGAAAGTATGCAATTATCCCCATATATCTAAGGTGTTTCCTCCTTTCCTTCATTCTTCAACGCAGGGATCAGTGAGTGCAAAAAGCCTGAGCAGCTCCAATATTTGTCACACTCAATATACTTTAAAACAACTTAAAACACTCTTTTTGGATAATTGGTTTAATTGCACAGTTTAAACGAGGCCAGCCTATTAAGCGACACAATGGTGAATTCAAAAACAAGGAGGAGCAGGTGTAAAAAATCCCTGCCAGTCTCTGTGTTTGTCTAGATTGAATCCCAGCGGGGGGGACTTTTCTGTGTCATAGTGTGTGGGAAAACGAGGTGTAAACAGTGGAGCAATCCCGGAGAGACGGCGCTCTGAGAGGGGCGGGGGGGGGGGGCATGGCTCCAACACTACCGGGGTCAGTTGGCCTATTAGGATTAATGTTTTCCGCAGTGGGACGGCTGGCCTTACCCCAGATACCCGCCGGCATCCACCCCGGTTCATTCCACATGCTCGAGACTCCCAGCTCCAGTCTGCGCACGCCGCCTTTTTGGCACGCGCTCCGCATTAGTTGACAGCAGCGATTGCTCACTTTGAACACGCTGTAAATGGTGTGCCAAAGCCCTATCTGAAGGTTTTTTTTTTTTGATCTGAATGAAGGATTCGATAGCGCTGTGATCCGGGCAACATGGGGGAATGTGCGCTCTACCAATCCGGAAGGGAGTCAGTGGTTTCGATTCCAGCCCAAGGCAGTCAACATTTCAAAGGTGTGCTTTGGGGTGAGAACTGCAAAGGCTTGTGCAGCGGTTATTGAAGTTTGTTCTAAATGTAATACTCACGAGTTCATATATTTCAATTCATGCTCATGGCTAGTTTTTACATTCTGTGGGTGGAATATTTAAAAAGTTTAAAGCTTGAGTGCATGTATGTGCTGACCATTAAGAGGGTTTCATCCTCATATGTAATATCTATGTTAATGCTCCATTATTCTCTAGCAGCTTCTGTATTCTATATTCTCTTTTGATATTTTACTCTCTTTCTCAATTGATTACATGCAATTATACCTCAAAGTCAGAAATTAGATACTTGTACTGCTCGTACTTAAGTTTATTTCCACTTGGGAGAAGCATTCCTTCTATTTTAAAATAATTAATTTTAAATAAATGATGTTCAAGTGAATTCCTTAAGTAGAGTAGCGAAGTCTTTAATTCCTCCCTGACTTTGAGTATATGGTAATGTATCATGTGAAAGATACACATCAAAGAGCATATAGAATACAGAAGCTTGTGGTATGATATGGATGCATTAATAGACTATACACCTGATGTCTGAAACCCTCTCTAAGCGGGTCATCACATACAGAGCCGGCTCAACTTAACTACTAAATCTGTGCAGCACTGAATCTACTAGTCATGAGACTGAGGGTGAATAAGGAACTGTGAGATACATCTAGAGGCACAGCTATGAGAAAATTCGGGCTGACAAGCTCTTTGCAGATCTCACGCAACGCACACCGTATCAAGCAGCTTTTCACGAGAGTTATAGAGGTTAACACATACAAATTATGAACCTGGAAAGATGCAGCCTCGGTTTTAAACTGTTGTCCTCTTACATCTTCCAGAGGACAGTGCATGGCCACAGCGATGGCCAAGGTATGGGTAGTAGTTTCGTGGTGATGTGCCGGCGGTGCGCCCCTTTATTTTTCTGATGCGGTTATTTTGGTATTGATCCGTGATTTTCAAATGAACCACTATCGTCACAAATAATCCGTAGTCGACTGGGGATCCTGCTTACGACTTCTGCTGCGCGTGGTGGCGCCACGCATGGCTCGCATCGTCGTCTGTCGCTTGG